TTTATTATTTAACGTTTATTAGAACAGGGATTTTTTTCAAAACTACTATTTTCTCTACACTTTGCATTAGAAAATTTAATGTAAATAAATAAAAAGCAAAAATCCGGCTCAATAGATGTCTAGAAAATTGTATAGCCTTTCATTACAAAAAAAAAATATAAAATCAAATTGGTTGAAAAATGAAGGCTCTGGAGCATAATGAATGCTAGCTATTGTGTGTTCTAAATTATCACTGAGAATTTGTTATCATCCACTTCCGACGCCACTGGTTGGGAACATAAAAAATATTCTTGTTTAAGAGTCTTATAAATCTACAAAAATTTGCCAAACAATTTTTTACTATCACACAATTTTTTTTTTTGCACTAAGACTCTTTTTTTATTGACTTAGACTCCTCAAAGGTAAATTCAATTTTTTTAACAATCCCTTTAATGTAATAGACGCTTTGTTAACTTTAGCGACAGTATATTTATTAAATTTATTTTATTTTGGGCCGCAAAATTATTCATTAAAGACTCAGCACCCTATGTTCATAAAATCGTCTTCGCCCTTCCAAAAAATTCATAGATGTAGACTTTCGTGCATTTTTCCCAGCACGAGAATATCAAACTTTATCCTCGCAGCGACCACTTCGTCGATGAACTGCATCTCAACGACTGCCAACATTCGCAAGAGCAGCACTTGCGCGATCAGCTAGAAGCAAGAAAAATATTTAATGCCTTACCTCACATAGCCCCGCAACTACATACATCTATAACACCACATACATACATCCCCATTCAGTTGCCAACAGACACTTTCAGTTTTTATTTCTTTGCGACACAAGGCAGAGCAACTCCCATGCAAGTGTTCCATGAAATGAAAAGAAAATCCTTAAGAATAAGAAAAAAGATTTTCATCACCAAAGGCAGCTAAACATATAACTGACAGGCATATAGCAAATATCCTAGCAATCGTATGTGTATGTGTGTACATTTCTTGTACAAAGATCAGATATCCTTTGTGTCAGTGAAGCGAGAAAATTGTATAGCTACGATGGAAGCGTAAGCACACAGCAACAACAATAATTCTACTTTCAAATAGAATAAAGTATATGGAATATTTTTTTTTGTAAGGATATAACAGAAATAAAAGGACACAAAACCTAATAGCAAAAACAATGCCTGTTGTGTAGGTTTTCCTGCGACAACAACAAGTCACAAGCAAGAAACACAATAGTGTAGAAGAAAAGAAATGAAACGTAGGAGTGCACATACGCACGCACGCATCTTTGAAGAATCTAAGAAATACAAGAAAATTGTACGCAAGGAAATGAAAAAAAAATACTATGCATGGTGTAGGAGTAGAATCTAGATAAATTTTGTAAGTCAGGTAGTTCGGCATAGCCAGGATGCTGCTGCTGCTGCACTGGCACGAATTTGGTGTAGGGGAAATCCTGTGCACAGGTTTTATGTACATAGGTACTAAGCGCACTGAGGTTAAGGTGAAGGTTGGCTGTAGGTTAACAGTGCGCTGTTGCTGATTAACATACGTCATCTATGCAGACAGCTGGTTGCTCTGTTATGTGGGGATGTTTCGTATGTTAGTGAGCAGAATTGGGCTCTGAAATGTAATGTTCTGCTTGGAGTTATTTGCGGAGAGAATCAAAGAATAATATGCATCAGCATGAGCGAGAATGATATGATATTTGTATATACATACTAGGGATGTTAATTTTCTTGTTTTTTACGATCCCGGGATTTTCCGGATGTTGTTATCACAATCCCGGAATTCCGGCATTTTCAAAAACTTAAATCGAAAAAATTTCTTCTATATTGTTTGAGAAGCTCTCCCACCATAAAATAAATAATAAATAAATTGGTTTCAAACCTAATCTTTTATTTAAAGTGGAATATTTATTTTTTCTCTCTGATGTCAGGATTTATTTTAAGGGACGTCACGATTTATTTTAAAGGACTTTTTAATTTCAAATAAATGAATAAAAAATTAACTGCAATGTAGAATAAAAATATGGGTACCAAACGGAAGAGGAAACTTCTTTAAAATTCAAAAAAAAAAAGTTCTTTATTCACAAGGACAAATAGGTAATTTGTTTTTAAGCTATTAAAGTTATAAAGGCAAAATTCGAGGATGTTATCGAGTTTGGTACCTATACTTCTTTTCTAAGGACATTTCACTGAATTTTTTAAATCATTTTTGAATTGCTGACGTCATGGTGTTTTCGCGAATATGTCGACTTTTGCGTGTAAAATTTACTATCGCACGGTATTATATTTATAATGAGCTAGACATTTACAAAAAATATTAATTATTAAATAAAAAAAGAAATATAGCCAATACTGGTCAAGAAAATGAATTTCTATTATTGCCATCAGTGCAAATTACAAATCCCGAAAATCCCGGGATTATTTGCCAAGAATCACGGGATTTTCGGAACCTAAAAAAGGCCGGGATTAACATTCCTAATACATACATACATATGATTATATTGGATTTAAATAAATATAATTTTTAGACGAATAAAGCCAGAATGACTTTTTTTAATGCTTATATAGACTTACATATCATTTAATTAATTTAAAGAAATTTTAAATTTTTTTGCCTTAACCTGAGGGACCTAAGAAGAATTCGCAAAAATATTTCCAATTCAGAAGCGTCAGTTGTTTACACCTACCACATACATATATATGTACATGCGAGTGCTTTGGTTTTATGCAAATGCATTAAAAAAAAATAAAATAAAGACGTTCTCGCAAGCGGTTTTTGCAAAACCAAAATTTTCTTGACGAAGATATTACTGAAGAAATTTCTAGTTGACTGGCGGTGATCGGAGATGGTCGGTCTAAACATACTGCCAATATAAATTACAGGAATACAAACTACAGTCGGGTCTGTTATGAAAACTATCAAGCTGGAGAGCGAGCTTCTATCCTTTTTATTTGGCACTACAAACTCTTATCGGTTTATGACAAAACTAAATAGCCTGGACAATTTCCGGATGATTTTTACAAAGCTCCATCATCTATTCAAACCAATTGGAGATAAATTCTTTTGCAGCTCGTCCTTGAATTGTGTTCGTGAACGGACTGCTTTCGTCGTCTATAGATCTTTTCACCGGAGCAACTTCATATATGAGTACAACATACCCAGAGCGCAGATATTGAATATATAGTTCAGTTCCATCTTCATTGGTACCCGTCTCACCACTCGCGAATAGTGCATCCCGCGGTAGATTGCCCAGCTAGCAAGATCTCATTTCTTTTGACTTGGGCACAGTATATTTTCGAATTTCTTTTAGACCAAGCTGAGTTGAATAGCTGGTAATTACGCCTGAGCAGCTCTTCGACGCCGCGCTTGAATAATTCGGCGGTGTTCCACTTTCTTCTGGGATTTTTGCGCCACCTCGTCTTTGGCGCTTGTTCCAAGGCAGACACGCGCTAGCAGCTACAGCTATTAGTAAACCGGCGCTCCTCACTTCAGTGAGCTCTTAAACCGCACGGCAAAGTTCACTCTCTTTTAACCGTGAACATTTGTCGTGTTAAAAAATGGTTGTTGGTATAACACAGTGTGGCGTAAAGCGGAAATTTCTGGACGCAGATATCTAGACGTCAATGCCTTTTTAATGCCAACGATGAGGCTAAGCGCTAGCCTCATCCCAAAGCGGATCTCGGTCTTACACTTCATCGAATTTTTTGCGTTGTGTACTAAACAGACACTGCATCAGGATCTGAAGCTTACTTATATCGAAGGCAGTGGGGTAAATTTTCTTTTCCAGGTTGGAAAAGACGCCTCGGTATTGCAAGCCGGTGTTTGCAATCCTCAGTTACATGGAATACATGGTGTAAAGTGGTCGAAGAGGTAGAAGTTTACATATTTGCAGTGATAGCTAAGATGCGCTCCAGGCATGATTAGTCTAAGCTAAAGTATATTACCAGGCATTGATTAGTCCTCAGCCCGCTACATCTCTCACATTATCGACCATCCGTTAGAACCTCAGTGAATGTTTCATTGACCTATGACTGGGAGGCCTCCAGGTGCTGAAAGCGGGTAAAACTCTTGTTGCTTCCAATCTCATTGCCTTCATTTAGCAGATGGGGCCACTTGGGGCTTAGCTAACTGGTTACTTCTCGGGCACATAAAACTGACTGTCGACGGCATCCAGGCCAACCTTATTTTCTCTACTTGCCTAGGGATACGTCTTTTGGCGGCGATGTGTTGAAAGACTAACACCGGAGCTGCTTCGATTAATTCGTAGATCGCGCATATTTAAACTGTAAAATCGACTCCATTCATTTGAAGCAATGGGGTTAGCAGCTATGAATGTTCGGATGATAAGAGCCCTACATTGTACACATTAACAATATACATACATTCATGTGCACATAAGGGCGAACACATGTATGTACGTGAGTATGTTGGCACACGTCACTTTTTTTGTGTTAAAAGATTGGCCTTTTCGTTCTGATTGCAAACCAACATTGTCGCTGTTAAGCCACTGTAACCTGCACATCACAATTGTACAAACTAAATACTCAGAAAACTGTTTAGTCCCCACATAACACAACCAACTGCCTAAGGGGCCCTAAAAAATATTCTTATTAGCTGACACTCTCTCTCTGTATCTTGCCGCTCGCATTTTTGTGCTCCCTCTTGTTCACTACCCTTTTGATTACACTGTGTAGTGTGGTGTTGATCCATCGCAGCTCTAAACGAAGAACCCAATTTATGTTGAGGTGCGCGCGAGCTGTTCATGGCACTGATCGAGAACATTGCTAAGGCACGATCACTTGCGCCACTGTTTAACCCTCTGTCAGGGCAATGACAAGCAACAGGGGAGGAAGCAGGTATGCTACGTACTCACACTGTACTCAATGGAGTGGCACTGCTGTAGGCGAGAAGAGTGAACAGAGCTGCTGCTATGTTGGCTGTTGCTTCACTTTCAAATTGTACTTAAGCCACTACCAGAGGACGAAGGGAATCATTACGGCATTTGATTTCGTAGCCACACAAGCTCGTCTTAGAACAACACCGAAGAAAATAAAGTAGAAAGTAGTAGTTGAAAATCAGTGCAAAGTCAATCTAATCAAAAGCGAGAAAGAAGTTTTATTAGTTCAAATTTTTAAAACGCAAAAACGCACACCCAAATAAATTTCGCACAAAAATGGCAAGTGTTTGCATGCCACAAACGGGTTACCAGCAACATCAACAACAACACCATTTCCAAATGTTGAACGGCAACATAATGTTGCTACAAAAGGCGCAACACCAACAACAGCAGCTGCAACAACAAAACCTCCATACCGCCGCCTATCAGCACAAGAAGCACCAGACCATCGCACCGGCACCAAAAGTTTTGGGCAACAGCAATCTTCACAACATCCAAGTGGGTGCCGCAGGTGGTGGTGGTGGCATGTTGCCGCGCAAGAAGTACACCTACATGAATGTGCCGTACGGCGAGCAGCTGCCATCGGTGGCACGTCGCAATGCGCGCGAACGCAACCGTGTCAAGCAGGTGAACAACGGTTTTGCCAACTTGCGTCAGCATCTGCCACAAACGGTGATCAATACGTTGTCGCATGGTGGACGAGGCGCCAGCAAGAAACTCTCCAAGGTGGATACGCTACGCATCGCTGTCGAGTACATACGCGGTCTGCAGGATATGCTCGATGAGTCGCAGCCAGCCGAAAATAAATTTCATACCGGCACACTCTGCGATGAGTCCAGCAACGATGGCAGCAACTATGGTTACTCCTCGATGGGCAGTCCCAGTGAAGCAGCCTACAATCAGCTGCAACAATCCTATCACTCAGAGGCTTCAGTTTCACCGGCGCCTAGTTTCAGTGGCGATTCGGATATTTCGATTGGTGGCGTCAATTATTTGCAACCAGTGAAACTCGAACACCAGCAGCTGCAGCAGCAGCAGCACCAACAGCCTGCTCAGACGCACTTCAAGTTTGAATCCTTTGACGAGTTTGCGCATTTGTCACCTGCAGATGAGCAACCCGACGATGAGGAACTGTTGGACTATATCTCTTCATGGCAAGAGCAGTAAGCCAAGGCGGCGCAATCAGTGACTGAAACAACCTGCGCAGTGAAAAATTGCCTTCGAATGAGGAAGTAGCAAAAATTTTAGAGACATCATAGCCCAGTGGCAACTCAGGACTCAGTATCGTTACAAAGATACATTTTATATATATATTCAATTTTAGTGACTGTTGTGCATAAAAAGGAAGAGCTTTTGCTTGACCTTGCTTAAAAATTGTAAATAGTGCCTTGTAAATTCGAAATGTTTTTATGTTGTAAAATATTTAGTTTAAGTATATTTTTTTTTAAGAATTTTAACTCATGGAAGACAAATGATTTAAAACCCTACTCATAAGCTAAGCGCTAGTTTTAAGCAATGGAGGACACTAAACTAAATAATTGTAAGACTAAGCAAACCACTCTAAAAAAATACAAAACAAAGAAAAACAAACCAAATAAAACAAAACCCAATGAAAAACAAAAATTGTATACCTTTTATTCTTGGAAATTAAATTTTTAGTATACAGCAATATTTTGCCTTAGTGGTGTTGAAATTATGAAGACTAGCGTCCATATGCGACAGAAAACAAGTGACGAGCTACCTACAGATAAACCATTACCTTACCCTTCGTCTGACACATGAGTCCAGCCAGGCCTTTTCCATTTTCAAATTACAAAAAAGGGTACTTTAGATATAGCTAGAGGCTTGAAATTTCAGGTAGCTTACTAAAGTTTAGTGAATTACCAATCTGTAAAAAATCGTGTTGGTATCATATATATAAAGCTAGATATATAGATATGTTGATTAATACATCACATTCGTAACACATAGGTCTGGCTGGACCCACATATATTCCTATGTAATTTTTACCTAAAATGAAGGAATGCAACCGTTTTTCAAAGTTTTATTTTGAATTTTTGAATTAGCATGGCAAGAGATGATTTGCATTTTTAACCGACTTCCAAAAAAGGAGGAGGTTATCAGTTCGTCGGAATATTTTTTTTTATGTATCTTACCGCATAACTTTGGACCACGTNCAGTTTGGAAATATCTTGGGTAGGGTTGCCACCTATTTAAGAAGTCTAATTGAACTATTTTATACCCAAGTTATATGAAATATGAGCGATGGATGTCAAATGAAAGAGTTACAAGAAATTATTGGGGGATTCACAACGGTGTCGTAAGTGTCGTATTGTTGTATGTCGTAAACTTTAAAAGCACCACTGAGAAATGGTTTAGATTAATCATTAGGAATATTTTTAGAGGTTATTGAATAGGGTTTCACCTGTTTAAATAGTTTAATTAAATGTTGGCGTTTTGACGTCATGCGGGTTCACTAGTATATGTAGTTTTTTAAATGAGAATTGAAGTCGGTTTTTTTTTCAAAAAATTACTTGTTAGCTAAAATGATGTTACTCGGAGCTCGCTTGTGCTATGCTAATCCTCTCTTGACCACAGCGCTCAATTTTGCGATGGTGTTGAGGTCTGGGATTTGTGCTGACCACTTCATTACAAGAAAATTTTTCCCAAGCAGCCGGCGGTGTCGAATATTTTCAGAATCCTTTGGATCTCCGTCCTGCTGGCAAACAACTTCTTCCGCAGGGTTTGCGCTTTTGTCTACAAAGTCCGGCAAATTTGTTTGGAGGATATGTTCATTATACCTTTTATATTAACCCAAGACACTAAATGCCAGCAAGCAAAACATCCCACGCCATTAAGCTGCCACTTAAATTTTGTAAAAGTCACGAGAATTGGAGCTTTTGCACTTAAAAGGGGTAATATGGTCCGATGGAACGAAAATTAATTGTTTCCAAAACGATAAAAAGGCATATTTTTGGGAAACACCTTATCAACATCTTCAAAAACACCATACAAAGAAAAACATGTAACATGGTGGCCAGCACAAATCCCAGACCTCAAAGCTATCGAAAAATTGAGCGCTGTGGTCAAGAGAGGATTAGCATAGCACAAGCGAGCTCCAGTAACATGAAAGAGCTTTGGAGGTGAGCAAAATTATAATGGGGTAATATTCCAAGCGAAATCATAGAAAACTCAGTAGAGAGCATTCCCGGACGTATGAAAATCGCTATTAAAAGCAAAGGAGTCTCCACAATCCTCTTGATATATACCTCCTAAAAGTTCAAAACTGAGTGAAGATAGTTGCCTTGCGTTTTTGCTGTGAATCACTTGTTAATTTTTCTATTTACTGGGCTTTATACCCTAGATAATAAGGAAAAATTGCTGAAAATTTCAAAGCAATCCGCTTATTATTAAAAAAGTTATGTTACTGTAAGTAATAAAATGTCGAACATGCGCCCGGTTTTGATCGCCAGTGTATTTAAATAATAAAATAAAAAAGAAAGCCCTTAAATTAAGTAAATATTTGAATAACATACAATAAATAAGTTTAATTGAACAAATGTTGCACATAATTTCTATATAAATTCATACAATTTGCATGTGGGTCCATCCAGACTCATGCGTACCGAATGTGCCAATCGAAACATGTGTCTGACGGAGAGTTAAGAATGCTGGGTAGGCCAGCAGCGAGAGGAATCCAGGCAAGCGTTAGGATATTAGTTCAAATAATAGGCAAAAAATATATATTTGAAAATTTCTAACGACATTTCTCGGGCCTTTGTTAAAAAATTAGGAATTTTTTTCCCCTCTTGGAACTTCACTTCAGCATCATTCGCCATTTTATTGACGACTACACTTTAAATTGATTCAGGATACCCTTTTATTTATTTTACAAGATTTATTGAATAGTTTGTTTATGAGGAGTAAATGCCCGCAGACTGATGCATATCTTTAAGCTCAATAATATTTCAGTTCGCGTATTAATCCTTCGTTAGTTTATTTTCTACGACTTTATGTTAACCCAAAATATGCAGTAGACATTTTAATGATTATCGAATTGGTACAAAGGCCTCAATCTGATCACAGCTCATGTAACTTTTTCTTTGGCAAGGGTTCCAGAAAATTGTAAGTAATCAAGTAGCAAAAAGAACAGATGGGCTTGCAAGAAAAATTTACTAAGTACCAGCCTGTGAGAAATTAAACACACCGGTCGCTTCCTGATAACTCATGGTTGGTCCATTATTCACGAAAGAATAAGAGGTAGAAACACTCATACATATGCATACTTACTACATAGAAACTTCGGAAGTGGCTCTTTCGGTTTTGGCAGCAATTTTTAGAAGGTGATTAACATTAAATCATGTCTCGCTAAGCTGGAAAAATATCGCCCTAAACAAACAAAGTGGCTGGGTTCCACAAACAAGGCCAGGCGCCACTTTTAAGCCGCGATCGTTGCTTGAATAGACCACAAGTAAGCCTATGCCCGCGATATCAGATCCATTTTCTTCGGCCAGAGGCGAAATTACGGAGAGAGCTCTGAGGCCATGGTTTGTACACTGGAGTACCACGGCAAATTGATGCATACTCTCGTTTTCAGCGCTGGTGTGGTGATCATCCCGTACTAAAGATTACGTACATACTTAAAAACTGTGTAAAATTCAGAGATCAGTTGCTGTTGGCATAACGGGTGTAATGAGATCCTAAGCAACGAAGGCTCTAAAGATCGAAATAGTATCGATAGACGTTTATCGGAAATTCAGCATCTAACAATGCAATCAGATGCCGGACAGACACACATTGCATACATATAAAATCACTGCCAGCCGACTAAACCGTACCAAAGGGGTAAAATGGTCTTGACAGTCGGATCAAAGGTTATTGAATAAATTACTTTGAAGATAACCGTTAGACTTCACCATGCAAGCGTTTTTTAGCCGGAATGTTTCTCATACAAGATGTGGTAAGGTACGCTAAACTTCTTGCAACCACGAAAAGGCAGGAGAACATTAACTGAGATAGTCAGGCGGCAGAGCTAACATCATGCGGCTCTGCGCTCAGTAAAAATAAATATAAAATCACGACTATCTGCATAGAACACTGGCCCGTGGATGTACAATTCGAAAAGATCACCATACTTATCTTTCAACAGATACTGCCGCTGTGGCATGGACCCGCCCTCGACTCAATGTAAGACATTTTAAAGAGGAAATGCTCTGGAACGTCTGAATTTTTTGTCACAACAAGAATGATGGAATATGGAATAGCAAATTACCAAGGCTTTTACACAAGCAGTTGATTCGGACAAGTTCGCTAAGAACAAAGAAGGGATACTACTGAAATCACGTGACATAAGTGTGCACCTGAGAGACCCACAAAAACCCAAAGTCTATTAGCCTAGATAACCATTTGAGACCCTTCAAAGTAGCATTTAGCGAATTTCACTAAATAGCAACTACAGCAGGAGCAGATACTGGAGGTTCTAGCTGTGATCGCAGGCAGACGCTTTATCGAGCTTTCGTGCAGCAAAGCACGCAACGACAGTACAAAGCTTCCTTACGACACCAAGAAAAGTAAGTTGTATTTTTTGCAATTTCAACCGCAAGAACTCTGCACAAAGAGAAAGTTTTTAATCTACCGAAAAAGTGTATAACAATTTGATTAGAAAAACAAAATTTGGACCTCTATTCTTGAATAATTGATAAGCTTAGCCAATTCTTTATCTATAACTATACTCAAAGAGCCCGCGGACTATTTCGAAAACTTGCATAAAATATGTACTTATGTCACAAATAGATATACACCCTACCCCCAGTCAATCAAAAAATAAACAAGCGCAAGACGCACGCGCACAAAGCGTGTAAACAGTTACTCACTGTGCATTTCATACAGCACGGCTGGGTAGCAAAATAAATAAATTAAAATTAAAATATTTTTATCATTTCCGCTGAGCTTAAAGAGCAAAAAAAAAAACAAAACAACAACCAAATTAAATGCAACAACGGAAGTAACCGGTCACGCCTCATAGCATATCTACAAGGACCACGTGGGCAAATAAGCTACATATGTACAAGCAACTGCAGCAAAACGCTTATCAAACAAAGCTGAGCGAACGACAGGCAGGCAGTCAGCCAGTTTGATGGACCGACAGGCAGGCTTTACGCCTGGTCAAAGGCGTAAAGCGTACATAATTTGCCTGCTAATGCACTTCCGGGCCGGAGTGGTGTGGCTGCCTGCATGGACACCACCGCACAGCAAAACCTCAACCCCAAAACGAATACGAATGCGAATGCCAAACAGGATAAGGACAGAGGCGAACAGGACATGAAGTAGGTGCGTGCTTGTGCTTGTGTTAGCGGAAGGGATGAAAGGGGTGAGTGAATGACAGACAATATTCTCAACCAGGAGAAAATTGCTTACGTGTGCCGCTTGCCAAACAACAAAAGCAACTCCAACAAAAGCAAGCAGGACACGCCAAAGTGGTGAAAAGGAAATTGCAGCATAATAATGAGAGTTACTTGTATAAAAGAATAAAAAAAAAATATATTTATTTATATTAAATGCAGGTACAAAGGACGCTTGATAGAGCAGAGAGGCTTGCG